AAGGAACCTAGGTAAATATTAAAAACATAAGTTTATTATTACAGTCCGCAACCGAAGTTTAATCACAATAATTGACGTAGTAAAAACTAGACAATTCAACGTACTACTATCATCGAACTGCTTTTTGTGGACCTAAGTGTATTCGGGCTAGGTTGCGTCAGCTTCACCCTTCAGCATTAGCATCTTGACAAAACAATAAGGATAAGGATAATGCACAGAAACAATATGGAAAATATGGCACATTCTCGTAATATAATAATACCGTGCAATTGAAAACCAGGTTTGACCACAAACTTGCATGAACCCCATCATGTGATCAGAATGCATCGTATTGGTGATGCCTCAGAGTGAACCAATCTAAGAGGCAAGCAACTGAGTGAATATACTCCTGCTGGGACATCATCAAGTTTCAGGCCTTCCACGAGAATGATCTCCTGATGCATTTGAAATTTGTCAGTGTATTGCTTATCCTTGCTCTAATCCAAGTCACAAATCACACAATTTTTAACTTTTCTTTCAAAGAAGGAAGTCAAGACACATCCTAACAATTTCTTTTGTTTACACAACTGCATCTTCCACATATTAAGCTACAAATATCTTTCCAAATAAACTAAAGATTTTTATCTAGATGTAAGAGCCTCAAAGATATGAATGCTAATGCACCATAAAATTGGATAACGTAAAGCTGGAACATTATGTAAAGATGAATCAGCTAAAGTAACCATTATGGATTAACAGAAAGGACAGATTAAGCAGTGGAAACTAAAAGTTCTCCGCTAGAGTGATAAACCCGACCAGCTTTAAATTTATACTAAGAATAATGAGTAGAAGAATTTAGCAGTAGTGATAGTGATCAAGTGATTCTTAAAGTTTATACAGAATCGAAAAATCTAGTTAGAAATAAAAGGTACACTAATTTGAGAAATACAATTAAAGAAGCAATCCAATAGAAATAGTTATTTTCCCTGAATAAGTCATCAAATGCTGCAGATAAATTAATATTGCCATAAACTTGCTGGAAAAAACTAAATCTAAATGAGATTCACTGACACCAAGAGTATCAAAATCAGAGTTTAGACATCCAATCCAACACACTGTTACCAAAACAAGTACAAAAATTTAACGAGGAAAATGATCCCAATGTCAGGCACTAACCAACATATTTAGAGTCTAGATCTTATTTGTAGTTTTCTAGTTTTTCAACACGATAGTGAGGAGAATGAGTAGCTTGTTATTAATAAGGAGTAATAAGCGCATAAATTTCAACCATAAGGCGGATAATTTCTTACCCTGCTTTCCAGAAAAGCAAGATGAGATTG